GTAACGGTAAGGTAACGGTAACGGTAACGTAACGTACGGTAGTACGTAACGTAACGTAACTAACGTAACGTAACGAACGTAACGTACGTACGAGAGAGAGAGAGAGAGAGAGAGAGAGAGAGAGAGAGGCTAGGTAATAAAATTGAGAGATGGAGAGAGATGTTAGACAATTAACTTTCAAAGTGGGCATAGATGAAAACTATTTTTAAGTATATAAATGGGAGTGAATGTTATTAGCCCATGCGCTTTTTCTGCGCACACACCGACATTCTCTCATTCCCTCCAAAATATGAGTGCGGATGCCACAAGGATGCATTTGAGAAATTGCAGCAGTGTTCCAAAAATAGGAACCAGGATCGATTAGGTCCCTTGAAAAATCAAGTCCGATCACCAGTTTCGCATCGGTGTGGTACGTATATTGGCAATTTTAAGAAACTCCGGCTTTGTCTGAGCACCAGGCATTTATTTCACAATCTAAAATGTAATACATGACAGAGGTGAGTTCTATAGGTAAAATCAAATATCCAAATACAAGTTAAATTAGGCCATCTAAAACCAATATGAGTGATAGGGTGGCTCAATGTCAACCCGAGCACCGTGATTCCAATCGTCATCAAACTGCGAAAAGTTGAACTGCACTTCCATAGACCATCGAAGATGGGGTTGAGTTGGTAGGATTGTGCATGGTGGTACGGTAAGCCCATAAGACTTCCAGGAGTATCTCATGTCAATTCCTCTGTCTTTAAAATGGATTTTAGCAACTCAAAAGATGAAGAAATGTTGCTGTAAATTATACCCCTTCCTAACACTAGTTCCCAGCTTCTATCCAACCACCCTCATACTCAACTACTTGGGCTTAATTTCAAGCTCCTTAGGGCGAATATCATCGTATGTATCGATAGCATCAGAGAAAGTATCACCACCATCTCATCTTGCATCTCCTGTTGCATCCATTCTATATCTCCCACTAGCTCCTTGAATTGTTGTTTTCCCTCTACTTGTTCACCTCCTCCACTGGCCTGTTGATTCACACCTCCTTCATCCTCTTCGTTGCATGTGAAGCCCTTGCAATTCCCTTTTATTGAGAAATGACTCAACTTCCACAAACCATTCCTCGAGAACATCCTCAATAAATACACGATAAATGTTGATTGATTCATAGTCCGCTTCCTTGCTCAATTGCGGCTTTTAAATAGTTAAAATTGTAATGAACATAAACTAGCTTTTGAAGTCTAATAGAAATCAAGCTTTTTCCTCCTTAGGGTATTCATCTACTGGAATATACCCCGGTATTGCGCACATCCCATTATAGAACAAGTTTAACTAAACACCTTGAGCACTATACTTTATAGGTTGAGTGCCGAGTACCATTTACCCCCTACCATTTGGATGAAAAAAAAAAGAAATAACTTATAAGAAACTAAAAGAATGAGAAGTAACTCATAAAAAAAGTATTTGAGAACTCCCTTGGATCCAGTTGATTAAAAGATTTCCTAGCAAAATATATTTTGTAAAGTACCCTTATGCATACATAAAAAGAAAGTTGGGAAAGGATGCGGTTTAATGGTTTCGACTTTATAAATATCGTAAGTTAAAAATTTTCATCATAAAAAATTGTTTCTTACTTCTTTTTTGAGCTTCAATAAGTCCCTTTCCACTTTTCTCAAGTTTGTCGTGGTGTATCTCCTACATGACCCAGAGCAAATTGATTGTTGTGAATAGGAGAATCTTGAGTTCAAGAAGAAACATAGACGACACACAAATTAACGGAATATAGCATTAATAACCACATGCACCATCATCGGTTAATCTTAAATAGGGATGGTCATCGGTTAATTGTAAATAGAGGTGGCAATGGACCCAGACCCGACCTAGGACCCGAGGGGTCGACCTGATTCGGGTTGGGTTAGAATCCTGGACACGAACACTACTCGGGTCTAGGTCTGATCGGGTCCGGGTCTAGTAATATTTTTTGGTTCCCAGAAATATATTTAACTATAGTTAAATAGACAAATATTTTAATTTTTGGAATGGGTTCGATCGGGTTCGAGTCCTACACTTTATTTTCGGGAACGGTTCCAGGTCCGGTTCCCATATCATCTTTCGAGTCCAGGTCTGGACCCGACCCGTTGCCACCCCTAATCTTAATGACTATTTACATGCTTAAAAATCTAATGTCTAAACAATTTACGCGCACAGTGAATTGGACAGTCCAACAAGGTCTTCCATCACATATCTGATTGATGGTCTCCAGCACTATTTTAGAAAATGAGCAACTGGCTTCGATGGCAGCCTCCTTTGTCTCTTAAGTGCTTCGAAGAGGAACCCCATAGAAGACTTCAAATCAGCATCCATTAGCTTCAAAACTACTGCCATTGGAGTTGTATCTGCTCAAGCCTATCTCAAAACATTGCACTACTAATTATTTCTTCAACTACCCCTTGCAGCTTGGGTCTTTGAGATAAAGGGATTGACTTATTCTTTTGAGGCACCCATCTTCTTGAGCTTATATTGTGACCACAAAAGGGAATCCATGGACAAGAATGTGGCCATAAAGTTTGGGATGCCAGGCTTAATAAGTTCTTTTTCCATTGATGTGTTGCCTCATCAAAGTTAGAACTTTAAAGTGGTTATATATGAACTTCTTGATGTTGAAAACTTGAGGGAAGAGATGGACCCACCAAATTCCCAACGGTCGAAGCCAATGTCTTGAGACTGTGGATCGCAGAGGTCAAGCTTTTCCATAACAATGAGAACTCAAAAATTAATTATCTGCGTGTGCCTCTCCATGATCATAAAAAGTCTAGTTATAGACAGATGGGAGGAAGTTGTTCTCCAACATTTGGCTTCCTCTTAGAATCTCTGAGAAATGTGACCCACAATTCTTGAGAGGTGGGTAGTTATGATCTACCCGGTAGATGACGACATCTTCTCTCTCTAAACACCCTTATTTTTAGTGATAAATATTAAATCATTCAAATAAATAATAAGAAAGAGAAATATGAAACATGTTAAGCTCCATGGCCACTCATACATACCAACACTTGATTATCTCCCGCAGCTCCTCAATGTCCTTCATGTTTTTTAACTTGTCAATATCCTCCAACATCAAGTCAATATACGATGGACTAAATAGAAGGTACATGCCAAATGCTGCTTCATGCTCATTAGATTACTCTCTACACTATTGTAGTTCCCTACAATTAGAAATAACTTGAACCAACGAAGTTGTCAATAGCTTGGCATTCCTTATTGCTCATGCGCTATCTACACAGGTGTGGAACCTCAGATAATGAGGGTGATATACTATAAATGTAATAAAGTTCTTCTCTTTCATGTCCTTCCAGTTATTAGATATGATTGTGACATGTTCTCTTGCACATTTGCTTATACTCATTAATAAATTGTTTAACCTCTATTGCATGCACATCTAAGTAGGCCCCACTGAGCTTCGCTTAATTCCAGGCTCGGCTGAGGCCATTTGGAATCTGCCGAGTAACTCGGCCTCACTCTATTGACGAGGTGAGTTTAAGGCCAATCGGTTGTACAACAATTTTATGAACAATATGTATTATACCTATATGTCATATTTAAGTCACATATGTTGTTAAGGCACTTTGGTTAGTGCTCACGCATAAAATTTTGAAGGTTTCGTAGTCTACGAATCCCACCAAAGCATCCCCTTTTTCTCATTCATAGAAGCTTTAAAAAAAATCGGTGGCCATCAGGAATCAAACCCAACCTCTGTTAGGGAGGCCTCAGTGTTCGAATCCCTCTGTTAGGCAGGTCGCCACTATCCAGCAGGACAACCAACACGCCATTTACTATTTGATGTAAAAAAAAACTGCGCACTATATATATATATATATATATATATATATATATATATATATGGGGGGTGGGGGGCGTAGCACTAGTAGAATGGAGGCCGTCTCTGGGGTAGGGCTTACCATGAGGCACATCCCGTAGGACATTGGGTAGTGCACTCTTTGTTTGTTCAGGAGTGGGAGATGTGGAGTATAGGGTCAAGCATCATAGACTAGGGGCAAGGATCACATGGTAGACCTCCTCACTTTGCTTAGTTCACTTAACCTGTTGACCTTTATCTTCTTTGTTAAGGTCGAATCAGGTCGTATCTTTCTAGGCCCTTATTGAACCCAAACTCTTTTTTGTCCCTCCCTTTCTCTACAATTGCCTTCCCCTCTTTGGGAGGGGCCAACTATTCAGGATTTTTTTCTCTTCCTTTTTTCTTATTTGTTTTTTAAAAAGATTTTTCATAAATAGAAATTGAATAACTTAGATGGAATACTAAGCATAAGTTATCGAGAACATTTGGTACCCCTTCCCAAAAACACACACACAAAAGGAAAATAAAATAAAAAAATGGGGGCATGCATATCCTCTTATTCCTTGGAAAGCTTATTAGGAAAGAATAAAAAAACCACCTGAAAAATAGTTTCTTGGAGAGAAAATGTAGTGAATAAAACCGCCCATCTTAGGAAAGAAAAACGGCTAGATTGGGGATTTTAGGGGGTTT